TTTTGGAAACCTAACACAAATTTGGAGTATAATATCAATATGTTTCTGAAAAATGTGTAGATGTCGTTTGTAAGCCAAAATAGTATGCTCTAATGTAATGCATGGTTTATGTTGGGACTGTGGAGGCGCATATTTAATAAAGACGGCATACAGATATACTCAGTGTTTTAAATGTGTTGAAATTCCAAGTCATAGTGTCAATAAACACATCCCAAAGCATCCCTACAGAGAGGCCAAAACTGGTTTATTTTTGCAGTTGTAGCCTAACAACTAAAAATGAGGTACTCGGTTTAGATAGGCATGAGCAGAGCAAGAACAGTGGGCACCCGGGCAGAAAGCCCAGGGTGCCTAGACATGGACAACTGTAGGGTGGGGCTCTACCCCCAGGGTGACCTTTCCTCCCCTAGTATATGCTGGTCATTCAGTTTAGACCCCTTGACCCCTTACATCACTGGTCATGCTGCTGAGTCCCTCCCCAGACCTCTTCTCCCCTTGCCACTCCCTATGTCACTAGTCATGTGGCAGAGCCCCTAAAAGAAGAACAAGGGAGTCAGAGAATAGCTTCACATGGCTCCCAAACAACCCCTTGCATTAAGCCTTAAGCCCTCAAGACAATGAGGTTCTGACTTGAATCAAGTAATCTTAGGTACAATGCCTCAGGTCTGTTGATCTGAGAGATAACATCAAGGCCTCAGCAGTGTCTCAGCTACAGGCCTAGAAGACCAGTAAGGCCAGATGTGGCTACAGTGTGGATGGCATCAGGACCAGCTTCAATGACTAATGACTCTCTGTCCTGGTGCCTACCAATCAATGGAGACCATGACTCCGACCCTTTCCCTGCCCTCTTCTTTCCCCAGTGCCTGCCCTCTCTGGAGCACACCCGGACCTCTCACCCTCTTCTTCCCCCAGGCACGCACACCTTGCTTTCCTTGTCCTAAGCTCCGAGAACCGCCCCCCTTTTTTTTTTGCTCCTGTAATTTGTTTCCTGAGCCCACTCAGCCCAGCTGGCTCACTTCTTCCTTCTTCCACTGCTCACTTCTTCTTACCTCTATGACTTTCTAAACAAGCTTTGCTTGTATTTGAGTCCGAATTTTTTTCTTGGTCAGAACTAAAGTACTAAAGTTGTTGAACCAAAGTCTGGTAACATTGTAGGGCTGTTTCACCATTAACAAAAATACCTCCAAAAGAAAAAGTAAAGAGGAAAACTGTACTGCGTGTAACAGGGGCTCAAACAGTAAAGCTCAATTATAAACGACCTTGTTAAAACACGGATATAGCTGCACTGTAAGTCATATCATGTAAAATAGTGAAAAACTATGTACCTAAAAAATGCAGACATTTTAAAAAGTTGTTCTCATCCCCTTCAATACAAAACCAGCATTTTGCATGGGTGCCATTAAAAGCATTTGTATATAGGTATGCATGTGCATACACACATATAGATATGGAGATTAGATACAGAAATGTATTTAAATAGCTGTTTCCTTCAAGTTCCAATAAATCTATACATTCTTAAAATTTCCGTTGAAAGTAAGTAGAAGAATGTGAGTTCTGGTTCATTGTCAAGGACACCGAATTCCTATGCCAAATGAATAGAAACAGACTTTCTAAAAATTACCCAGTAAATCAGTGGTCAATGACAAACTTCTAGGTCTCTGTTTGCCAGGCCCATCTTCCATCTCCCCTTTCAGCCTGTGCTCCAAACTTAAAGAAAAAACGGTCTTCCAAAAAGGCTTAACAGGAACTCATTGTCAAACTATCCCTCCTCTTCCGGTGGTTTAGTTCAATATGCTCCAAATATTATCATTCAAAATAAAGTTAACCCGAGAATTTTTTAACAAAATGGCAAACTCATCCTATTACACAGCATTAAAAAAATAAAAACAATGGTTCGTAAGCAAGATCATGTGAAATACTGTGCAAGTGTGTGGACCAAATATGCGGTTGATTCAGCTAGTTTGGCCTCGATATCTAGCAGCATCTGTGTTAATATGTTCCTTCTCTGGATTTCAATAGAGCCTTACTAATAACAGGTTGATGAATTGCATTTGTAAATGTCAGGCATAGATCAAAGGGGACTGTTAGATGTTTATTTTTACTTCAAATTATGGTTTTTTGCCAACAAAACAAAACTGCATTGCACAATAAAGTTCCTTATTTCTACTTGAATCTTTAATGAACAAAACAGCTGCAGAATAATGCGACTTAATGAGGCATCCCTAATAAAATACTGGAGAAATAAAAGCATGGGCACTGAACTGTTTGCACTATGCTTATTTCATCTTCTCAAATATACTAGAAATAACTGATGACACTTTGGAACATTCCTACTTTAAGACATGCATTAGAGAGGCAAATGTTCAACAGTCTGTAGCCACAGCTGAACTTAGGCAGAATCTGACAGTGCCTTCTATTAGGGCCCATGATAAGAAATGCCTAGAAAATGCTGGAAAGACACATTTTACTCTACCTGTACAGGGTAATACATAACATGCAATTAGTGATAAATCAACCCTAAAATACTCTTTCAACACTTCAGTGTTCAAAAACGCATTGTAAAAGGACCATTTCTTAAAATACTTCATTGAAGATACTGATCCAAAACTTCTAAACTTTTCTAACAATATACAAAACAATTTTAATAAAATGTTGTATTACCACTGAAGTTTCATTACCTCATAAATTTTTTAGAAGGAAAAGTAACTATGGCTAAACACAGAACTTTTTACAGCTGTGTCATCTCATTTATAACTTGGTGGTTTGTAAATATTACAATTCTGTCTCTAAGTGATACATATCACTTTTGACATAGATCCATGGGCATCTCAATAAATCTTCATCCCCCAATTTGTCACTGTTGAAATAGCGAACATTGTTCAGATTCAAAATCACACAAACTCAGAAACCTCCAATTTCCCTTTAGCACAACCTGTAGCATTAATGTCAAGGTTTTGGGTTCTTCTTTAATAGACATGTATCATAGCACTCGTAGCACTATTATTAATATGTAAGTTTAAGCATCCTAAACTACACAATTTTATTAAAGGTGCAAAAAGAGTACAAATGTTGACCTCGAAAAACTGTCTAATAAAAAGCAACACCCTAAAAATGTACTCTGCTTCCCCAAAGAGCGTGCCTGGGTGTTCAGCTGGTGTGACGCTGCTCTCATGGTATGACATCTATAAATGACACAATCTCATTTTTTCAAAATAGAACAAGCCCCAGTGTAGTGACCAAACGACTTTCAGTGGCTATTGATGGCGTTGGAAATCAGCCATCTAAAGAGGTCAGTATGTAAACAATTGAGCCAGGAAGAGAACCAGAACAGAACAAAGTAGGAAAAGAAAATATTAAATTACATGTGTCTGATTATTTTTAAGGTTCTTAGGTGCCAAATTTGAAATTGGAAAAGATTCACCCATCTGAGGATACATATGGAAACATAGAAAGGCTGGAATAAATACAAATAACCTTAATGCTCCGGTTTTGAAAGGCTTTAGAAGTGTTTTCAATCTGCTCTGCTGGTTATTGCCATTTAGCACTTTACATGGATATCTAAAATTGATTACTCAATTGCCTTAACTGGCATTGCCTAATAGCACAGTTTTAATGTGCTAATTGATAAATCTTAACGTTAGCATCTCCAACGATCTAGTTGGGAAGACAGGAACCAGATAACTATCATTCAGTCAATTGTTACTGAAATACATCCTGTCCTGAGTGAAGGACTCTTATACTGGCTGCTTTGGAGGTACTTTTCAGAGTCAAGTTGCATATAGGTTTGTTTTTGTTTAAAAAAAAATTCTCCAAAATGCAAGAGGGGATTTATCACTCAGAAAAGGAAGATATTTTCCTGGCTGTTTCATTGCCACAAGCCAAACTCAATCAGCACAAGATGAAGAAAGGCTAGCCAGCCACTGTAGTAACTACACATTAGATTTCAAACGCTTCAGGCGATTGTTTAACACTCGTCAGGAAGGGAAATACTGAACAGGAAAGCGTCTCGGCCCCAGGGGCTTTGCCAACGCTCCCAGTTCCTCCTTTTCCAGTGCGAACTAGAGAGCTCAGCCCGCGGTCCTAGGAGATAGAAATCCGACGGCGGATCTCAAACTTTCCTTTGCGGGAGCAGTTTCTGGAAACAACACGTTCCCCACACGAAAGTGAAGATCAGTAGCCTAAAGAAAACGCCTCTAGACCGGAGCCCGGCCTTTTGGAACAGAAGGGAGGAAGGGACATTAAAGCAATGGGACAGAAAAACCGTGCACTATTAGCAAGATCTGGGGAGGCTTCTGTAAGGAAAGAAATGAAAACCCATTAGTTTCTCGAAGCTGCTTTTTTCTTTTTTGCACACTGTTCGTAGAATGATCCTTTTCCTAGAGCTCGCTTGTAGTAACCTTTATTAAAGCGTCCGTTCCTAACTGGAAATAAACCTTTAAATAGATGGGACCCCGGGACTTATCAAGATGATTCTTCATGAAAATAGTTAGAGGTGGAGAAATCAAGAGCCTCCCTGAAACGCCCACTGTCTGCAGACAGGCCCGAGAATTGGCTAATCAGAAGTGGACAGAAAGTAGGGATTTCAGAAAGGCGACCGGACACATCTGTCACATTGATCCTGCCTCGAACGCGACACCCTACTGCTTGTTGGAGTTCAAAATGGTTACAAAGCCAGATGGGTTTGGTTGAGGGGTCGAGTTAAAACCCACTTTAATCCTCGCCTGGGTCGCTCGCGGTGTTAGGAGAAATGGGGCAGAAAAGGACTGAGAGCACCGCTCTCGGAACCGCTTTCAAGTGCTCGGATCCCCTCTCGGCGCCCCTCGACCCCCGACCGCCTGCGAGGGAGACGCTGGCTGCCCAGCCAGCATCTGCTCTCACCTCTCGCTTCCCCGCGGCGAGCCCGCTACAGCCCCGGGTCCGCGGGGAGGGGAGGCTTCCAGGCACCGGGGGCTCCAGCGGCAGCCCGGCCCCCAGAGCCCGCGGGAGGCGCCGCGCGCACCTACCTGCAGCCCGGCTTCCTGGTGGCGGCAACACCTAGCGACGCTCCTGCAGCTTCCGCGGGCCCGCGCCAGCCTTATCGCTCTCGCATCGCTTCCAAGATGCCAATCCGCCGTCCCCGTTCAGGGGCATAGGGAACCGGAGTCGGGTGGTGTGGGCTCGCGGGGGGCTGGCGAGTCAGGTCCGGAGCGTGCTTGTGCGCGCGCGTGTATTTCCTCCTCCGAAGGCAAAGGGAGCTCAGGAATCTCTTGACATTCACACTGGAATCCCCTTACAGAGGGCGGAAGGTGGAGCGTGTGAGCCTCGTCTCTTCTTTCCTCCCCTCTTTATTCCACAGTGTCAAAGTAATCGAAAGATGTGTTTTCCGAGGACAAGCCCAAGTCCCACAGCCTGTGCCAGCGCCCACGGTCGCCCGCTGTCCTCGCCGGACGCGCGCGGTGCGCTCAGCTCCCCCCACTTGGAGAATCAAGGCGGTCTCGCAGCAATTACCGCCCTTACTCCATCTCTGATTTGTTTGCTTTTAACGCCGAGTACAGACTTTTCCTCTCGCCTCGCGCCGTCTCTCCCTCTCACGCACACTCACACATCCTCCGTGCCTTCTCTACAGCCCTCCCTTTGCTCTCTGGGGACAGGCAATTGGTCGGAATGATTCACCTTCAGCAAAGCAGCCTCCGACGCGTACTTCTCCGGTTCCCCGGCTCCCGCAGGTCCCGGGTCTCCGGGTCTCCGACGTGGAGGAGTGGCTGGGGGGGTTAGGGGCAGGCAGGAGGAGAGGCTCCGAGCTCAGCAGCCTTCCTCCCGCGAGGTGCCCGAGTTCCTCGGCTCAGGCGCCCGTGTTCGCGGGATTAGCAGATAGGTCCCAGCTGGTGCCTTCTCCGGGACTTTGTGCCGAGTCCAATTAGCAGCAACTCCTAGCCAGCTGCAGCCCCTCAATCCCTCCTAGAAGTGCTGCCGGCTGAGCCCCACGCTGCCCAGCCGCTGCCCCTCTAGGCATCGTGGGCTGGAAGGAAGGGCGACCGCTGCTGTCCACCTTTCCCCAGTACCTGACAACGTCACCACCGAGGTGCTGCTTCCAACATCCAACACGAGCGAGCAAGTGTTACCCGGGTCACTTCGCTAAAGGCGGGAGGGGAGGAAGACGGGCGAGGGAGGGCGCCGAGGAGAGGAAACAAATCCAAATTACCGACGGAAAAATAAGAAGGAAGAGGTTGGATCATCAAAGTCTCCTCTCCTCAGCTCTATACTATCCAAAGACAACGGTGGTATCTTTTTAAAAGTCACCGTAAAGGGCAGAACCCGCTGTTCCGCCCACACCCCTTATTCCACCCAGCCTGGCTGTCCAAGGGAGTGCAGAGTGGCTGGCCTCCCTGTACTGTGGAAGGTGAACACAGGGAGAGAAAAGATCCCAACACTCCGAGTGGAGTTAAGCAGTAAAACTGGACTGCAGGTCCAGGGGGCGTTGCCTCCCTCCCCTCCCTTTCAACAGCCAGTTTTGTTAGCAGCCGCAGCTGCTGCCGAAAGGAAACTGCGGTCCTGCAGAAAAAGACACAGTAAGGGAAGAGAGGGCGGCAATTGGCATAAAAGCTGGACTATGTCTCCCTCTAGAGGAAGAACGGGGTTAGAAAGAACTGGCTGTGACTACGATGGCAATTTATCCACAAAGAAAAAGAAAACAGTAACTGGTTTCAGAGAATTTTGCATTTTTACCAATTCCAACCTCTAATGGACTTATAGAAACGATTTGCATTGCAGCCCTATGTAACCAGAGTCCTTGGTAAAAGAACCTTGTACTATATACAGAAATGTAATAGCAAGACACTGAAAGGTCATGTCCTTACAGGTTAGATCAAATTGGGTATTGGTTTAAGCTGTATGCATATGAGCTCAAAGAAAGAGTCTTCTTCAAGCAACCCAATTAAAAATTGGGCAAAGAACTTGAACAGACACTTCTCCAAGGAGGACATACAGAGGATCCAGAGACACATGAAAAGATGCTCAATATGGCTAACTCTCAGAGAGATGCAAATTAAAACCACAATGAGATGCCACTTCACACCAGTCAGAATGGCCATCATAAACAATGCAACAAACAGCAAGTGTTGGAGAGATTGTGGGGAAAAGGGGTCCTTAGTTCACTGTTGGTGGGATTGCAGACTGGTACAACCACTATGGAAAAGAGTATGGAATTTTCTCAGAAAACTAAAAATGGATTTACCTTCTCACCCAGCAATTCCACTGCTAGGATTATATCCTAAGAACCCTGAAACACCAATCCAAAAGGACCTGTACACCCAATGTTCATAACAGCACAATTTTACAATAGCCAAGTGCTGGAAGCAACCTAGGTGCCCATCAGGAAATGAATGGATCCAAAAAATATGGTACATTTACACAGTGGAATTCTATGTAGCAAAAAGAAGAAGGAGCTCCTACCCTTTGCAACAGCATGAGTGGAACTGGAAAGTATTATGCTAAGCGAAATAAGCCAGGTGGTAAAAGACAAATACTGTATGATCTCACCTTTAACAGGAACCTAATCAACAAAACAAACAAGCAAGCAAAATATAACCAAAGACACTGAAATGGAGAACTGGCTGACAGTGTCCAGAGGGGAGGGGGAGGGAATTTCAGGAAGAAAGGGGGAAGGGTTTACAGGAACAAGTATAAAGGACACATGGACAATAACTAGGGAAGGTGGAAATGGGAGGGTTTGTTGGGTGAGCTGGGATGGAAGTAAAAGACAGAAAACTGTACTTAAACAACAATTAAAATAAGTTAATTAATTAAATAAAAAGAAAAGAGTCTTCTTTTGGCTCACTTTCATCAGCTTTGGCGATGAGCAAAACCTTAATCTAGTGATTAGATTATGCAAAATGAGTAAGTACTAACAATGGATTTAGAAAAAGAAAAGAGTATCTGAAGCCAAGAAATAGGATACTGATCCAGAAAACCTTACAGGTCCCTTACAAGTAAGGATATCTCAAAGATCTCGCTTAGGACCCAATGTTCATACCACTCACTCAACTACACTAGTAAGTGTCAAGGTAACTAAATTTCTCCAGCTCTAAAACATTATGCTTTTATAGCTCTGATTCACTGAAATCACTGATGAAACAGGTATCGCATGTTCTCTCCAGTGGCTAGAAAATAAAATACTAGATATCACATTTACAAAGAAATATGACTATATGTTTCCCTTGTTAGTGATTTTATTGTAACATGCTATGTAATTCAACCATAGTTTGTATCTAAAAGACAACAAATATTTTAACTAGATTGGTGGTTGTTTTAATAAAAGGTAGTGCCACAGATTTTATAATGTGTTGTTACTTTAGTCGAGTTCAATCTAGGTCCCATCTATAACTTTAATATTTAGGTTTTACTTTCAAGGTGTTTCTATATGTTTGTAAAGTATAAAATATCTATTAAAGTTATGGTTAAACTCCTTCCTCTTCACCATTCACTCTGAATTTTTGAGGTTGTTCTATTTTAGCCTGATAATCTATCTTAGTATAGGCTTAAAGAAAGAAAAGAATTTATGAGGAAATAACTTAGACTGACTAAAATAATTTGAAACAAGGAGCCACAAGTATATCATGTGAGTTATACTGTTTTAGTTGTACCATAGTACAGTTAAATCAGGTTAGCACATGGCAATCATTTAAGATTCCTTTAAATGATCTGTTTCAAAAGATTTGCGTCATGTGATCAAAGATTCCTCCCCACCCCCATTTAACTAGCACTTATTGCCCCAGAGAGCAAAGTTTACCTTTTAGAATGCCTAGCACTACTATTTCATTGCAAAGCTCATAATAATTCTCTGTCTGCTATGTTAAGTAGTGGGATGAAGTCCAAATAGGAATGACCATTGGAAACCTGGGCCTTGTGCAGGGAAGAATAACCATTTAGAAAAATCCCTTTAGAATGCTGGTCTTCCTTTCTCAGAAGAAATGTAAAGCATGCATTGTAATTCTCCTAGCTTCTAATGCATCGGCTTTCTGTGGTCGTGGGAAAACTACAGTTTTACCATATTGTTAAAAGTTTATTTCTGGTCCTGGCTGGTGTGGCCTAGTTGGTGGAGCATGAGCCCATAATCAAAAGTTGCAGGTTCCATTCCAGGTCAGGGCACATACCTAGGTTATGGGTTTGATCCCCAGTCCTTGCGAAGGCTCATGCAACCCCTAGTTTGGACGCAAATGATCCCCGGTGCCCTCACGTCTGGGAGCCAACCCATCCATACTTCTCTCTTGCAGAGATGTTTCTCTCTCTGTTCCTCTCTCTCTAAAGGCAAAAAATACGTATGTCTTTGGGTAAGGATGAAAAAATCTAAAATAAAATTCTTCTAATTACACCCAATCCGCGTGTACAAAACACGATAAGAAGTTAATAAAGGTAGCAAATGTATAAATTAATTGCAAAGTATATTAGAATTTATTATTCAAAGTCTTATGGTACTAAAATTCTCTAATAATCTTTGTATTTCTTTAGAAATATTCAGATAAGTAATTCCCAATGATTTCAGATCAAGGTATTCCTATTCCTGGCACCTCCTACACTTTAAAACAAAATCTTTTCTTCCCTCCCAAAGAAAAAAAATGGCCAATGCCTCCCTAGTTTAACACAAGTCTTGAGATAATACTTCTCTGCCTCCTCCTGTCTAAGCAGTAAAAAGCAGTTGCACCGGATGCTAACCTTTGCTGGATTGCAACTTCACGTGTAGCCCTCCGTGTTCTGAGGGCTAACATGCCACTTTGGGCCACTTCTTTAATCTGCTGGGGGCTTTCTGTGTGACCACAAATCCTTCCTTCAATTTCTCACATCACATAAAGTAGATGACACAACCCCATGTTACACAGGAAAAATATTGAGACAACTTCACTGTCATTAAGTGGCAGCACGGGGATTCAAACCAGATGTACCTAAATCTAAAATGAGTGTAATTGATTTGGCTTGGTTTGGGCTTTGATTTTTCTCTGCCTCCCCCAGCACCACCGCTAAAACATGCTATCTTCTGTATTCTAGGGAATTGGAAACGATGTACACCTGGATGTGGAAAAGCCTTCGCCAGAGGACTTGGGTCCATTCATAATAGAGAAAAGTTATTAGTTATTATAGAGAAAAATATTCATGGCAGCTTCCTTCAGCATTCTGCCAAGGTGTAGGATATTAAAACAAATGAACAAACATCTGATTTCTAGGGCATAAGGGAAGAAGAGTATTACACATAAGTTAGTCAGTCCTACTTGTCACCTCTTGTTTTGTTTCTTGGCACAAAGAATCTTTTTCAATATTACTTCTCCCACTTTTAAGTGTTTTCCAAGTAATTAGGTAAACAGAAGGAAGCATAGAATTCACTCCATATAACCCAAGGTGGCACGTTATTAACTTTTAGTATCCTCGTCATGTAGCATAGTACCTAACATACCATAAATACTCTATAAATACTTTATGGTCAGTAATTAGGAAACCAAACAAGTCAAGAGAGCAGACACACTTCATGGAAATAAATCAAGAGAACTACCAAACAGAGCAATATGAGAAAGAAAAGAGGCAAGAAAACGGTCTTATAAGTACCAGGTAGTGTAGACAATGGCAAAGACCACCCCCAAATTTAGTGGCTTAAAGAACATTTGTTTAGCTCACATTTCTATGGATTGGCAATTTGGGTTGAGCTCAGCAAGGCTCAGCTGGGCAGTTCCTCCAGACGCAGCTGAGCTTACTTACCTATCTGTGCTCACGTGGCCCTACAGTGCCTCCCTCACACTTTGGCGGACTGTGCCCTGGAGAATTGGGGGCTAACTAGACCACATGTCCCT